GTTGCTGGGAATTGAACTCAGGACCTCTGGAAGAACAGCCAGTGTTCTTAACCACTGAGCCATCTCTCCAGCCCCTCAACTTTTGTGTTTGTTTGTTTGTTTTTTCGAGACAGGGTTTCTCTGTGTAATTTTGGTGTCTGTCCTGGAACTCACTCTGTAGCCCAGGCTGGCCTCGAACTCACAGAGATCCCCCTGCCTCTGCCTCTTGAGTGCTGGGATTAAAGGCGTGCGCCACCACCGCCCGGCACTGTCTCAACTTTTAAACAATCTCAAGTTCAAACCCACCCTGTTCAGAAACTTCGACCCTGGAGTTAGCCAAGTTCTTGCAAAATGTGGTGATCACAGCCCCTCACTACTGTTGGGATGAAATGAACGGACAAAAAGAAGCGTTTAGCCCCTGGGTGCAAACTCAGCACTCACAGACGGCTCAGCCGGGGCTTGTGGCCAAGCCCGATGGCCTGAGTTCAATCCCTGGACCCGACTCCTGCAGGCTCCTGACCTCCACCTCCCTCCACGCCACTGACAACAAGAACTTGCTTTCCTGGAAAGAGACAGGGAAGAGAAGCTAGAGGTAAGAGATGGGGGGATGTGCACGGGATGATAGAACAAACGGGGAGCCCAGTGGTTAACCCTGCCGGCTTCCACTGCCGGCTTCCACTGCAGCCACTCCCTGGCTGTGGTGTCCGTCACGGGGGTGGGGGTGGGAGGACTGCAGGGTGGGGGGTGGGGGAGCCTCCAACAGGCCAGACCATCCTGCCCAGGACCTTGGCATGTGCTGACTCTGCTGTTTTCCCTTCTAGATATTTCCCCCAGATCCTTCTCTGCTCTCCAGACACATACCAGATACATCCCGCCCGCTTCTTTTAAAATTTTGCCTTTGAGCTGGAGAATGGCTCAGAGGTTAGGAGCACTGGCTGCTCTTCCAGAGGTCCTGAGTTCAATTCCCAGCAACCACAGGGTGGCTCACAACCATCTGAGATCTGGCGCCCTCTTCTGGCCTGCAGTATTCATGCAGGCAGAACACCGTATACATCTAATTTACTAAATAAATACATTTTGGCTTTTTTAGGGTCTCAGAAGCGCGGGCTGACCTCGAACTCACAGAGATCCGCCTCCTCCTGCATCCTGAGTGCTGGGATTGAGACATAAGCCAACATGCCCCGCTTCTAAATTCTTATAACTCAGACTGACCTTTGACCAGAGCCCCCCTCAATGAGGATACAGAAGTTCAGAGAAAAATTACAACCACGCAGGACTTTTTTTCATCAAAATTTTGATCCCAGCACTCGAGAGACAGAGGCAGGAGGATCTCTGTGAGTTCGAGGCCAGCCTGGTCTACAGAGTGAGTTCCAGGGACAGCCTGGACTACAGAGTGAGACCTCTCAAAAAAAAAAAAAAAAAAAAAAAAAAGAATTTTTTTTAACTAAGGGAACACGAACCACTTGGGAACCTCCCCCAAAAGGTGCTTTTGAAGATGAAGGATAAAAGCCCAGACTCGGGTTCCCCTCAGTCACGATCCTGAGGCAGAATTGTTGCCAGTTTGAGGCCAGCTTGGCCTACAGTTACAACCTTGTATAAAAAAGAAAAACAGCCGGGCGGTGGTGGCGCACGCCTTTAATCCCAGCACTCGGGAGGCAGAGCCAGGCGGATCTCTGTGAGTTCGAGGCCAGC